TTTTTTTTTTTTTTTGATTCCACTATTTATTCGCAAGCATTATCTCCCATTTATTTTTTTTTATTCTCTCTCGTGTTTGTGTTCACTCTTCTTTTTGTTTTTTTTCCAGATACATTTCCCTCCACTACTTGCCAGAGAAATGGCACCGGGGGTGTAAACGCATGGGTCAAGAAAAAGTAAAAAAAAAAAAAAAATGAAATAAAGAAAAGTAAAAAAAAAAAAAAAGTATAACTTCTGGACATCAGTAATGTAAGAGTATAATTTTTTTTTTATATTATCCGACAGAGTATGCAGCGGAAAGGTAGGAACATCAAATATCAAATAAAAAAAAAAGAAAAATTTTATAGATATTTCATCTTTCCTACCCCCTCACTCATCATCTTTTTGATGTATGCTGCTTGTATTCGCTCCCACCTTTTTTCCCAACTGAGTGAGTTGTTCCAAATAAACAATAGTGACAAAACAAGAATACCGTATTTCGTGTCTTTGGGGACGAGGAAAAATGAGAAAGAAAAAAAAAAAACATATTTTTTTTTGTATTTTCTTCTTAGTAACTCTTTCCTCCTGTAAACTTGTTTTTTTTTCTTTTTTTTTCTTCGCAAACTATAAACATACAAACATGAGAGGTTTTTCTTCCCCACCCCCCCCCCACACCCCTCGCATAAGAGAGGATACATTTCTATGCAAATCCAATTGGATAGAACCCAAACCACGAAAAGAAGACATGTGTATCTTTACTTGGGACTGCTGCCGTTGCTGTGGGTGAGATGATGATAGTGTTGGTATTGCTGTGATAGATTTGCGCCTCTCGTCAGGGGCCCGCGCACAGGTGGGAGTTCTTGCTGAGGCTTTTCTTCTTGTTGATTAGTACTAGTACTAGTAGTAGTAGCAGTTGTTGCTGTTGTGGTGGTAGTGATGGTAGTAGTAGTAGTAGGTGGAGAAGCATAACCTCTGAGGCGGTCAGGTTTTGTTGGTGAACACACTCCAATTGGGGGATGAGGAATGGGTACTCCATCAGCGTGACTCTGTGGTAATGAGGATGCAAAGACATCAACTGTATTAGAGTTTTCTTTACTACCTCTTGTTGACTGTGTGTACTCACCACGAGAAGATAATGTTGTTCGATCAAAAGCCCCACGCACCTTCCACAAGACATTTGTTGTTGTACTCGGTAGAGGGTCAATACCACCACCATTTCCAGTTGTAGTGGCACTGTTAGCATTAATAATTGTTGATGAACTATCAACTGCTGCTGAAGAGTTGGCATCAAGCGCAGGGCTCACATTGTCGTTCGATGGTCTACTGACGTTGGCATTAGCATTGGCATTTGGTGCAGATTTAGGATTTGTTGAAGTGCTTGCATTAGCATTTATTGAGAAACGGGCACTAGCTGAATTTGAAGTGCTACTATTACCACCAGTTAAAGTACTAGAGTTAGTATTGGAATGAGAATTAGTTCTATACTTGGACATACTCGAAGCATTCGTATTTGCACTTGTTGAAGTAATAGAGTTATTAGGGTTTGTTGAAGTACTACCACTAGCGCTCCGTGAACCATTGGGATTGTTCTTGGCTGTTGTCTTAGATTTAGTTGTACTCTTGGTATTGGTGTTAGTATTAGCTCGAGTATTGCTACTAGTTGCATTCTTATTGCTAAATGCACGAGTCTTCGTTCGTGCAAGCCCAGTAGATACTGTTGATTCTTCTGAAGGTGATCTTGAAGTAGTGGTGTTGGTGTTAGTGTTAGTGTTGGTGGTAGCCCCCTTCTCTGGTAGTTTTTTCCCTGCATTTAATTTTCGCCCTACTGGCACTTGCACCCCAAGTTGAGGGGATCCCATTGGTGCCGGTGCCGGTGCCGGTGCCATTCTCGTCGTTGTCGTTGTGGTAGTATTCGTAGTAGTATTAGTGGCAATCTTGGTGTTGGTGGTACTCGCGCTTTTAGTGGAGATGGACGAACCCTCTTTTCCCTTGGATCCTTCAGCGGCAGTGGCGTTGGTGGCTGTCTGTTCGCCCACTCCCCGCCAGACGCTCCCACCGGGGGAGAAGATGGACGAGAGCGAGGCGGTGGCGATGGCGAACCCCCCGGCGGGCGGGGGTGTCGACGGCGGCGTGAGGCCCAAGAGGCCCTGCAGCGCTTGGGGGAGGGGCAGCGCGGGGTCAAAGCGGGCCGCGAGGGCTCCCACCGTCCACCCCCGCAGGGCCCCGCCCCCCATCCCGATCCCCATCCCCACACTTCCCACACTCCCCACACTTCCGCCAATAATGCCCGTTCCCACACTTCCAACAGACGATGGCAATCCCGAGCGTCGTCGACTGGGCAGTTCCTCGTCCGGCCCCATCGTTCGGCTCCCGTCCGTTGTCGTGCTGTACGACCCACGACGGCGGGGGACCACAACGGAGACGGCAAAAAACGCCACAAACTCCTCCGGTGTGATGTACGCGTTAGGGTCCACCACAGTTCCATCTGCGTCTGACTTGGGCGACAGGGACTCAGAAAGCAACGTCGGCGCTGATCCTTCAGTGGAATACAAGCTGCGAGTATCTGCTAAAGAGTCATTATGACGGTTGCGATAGAGATGTTCTCCAACATCACGTATGGCACGGAATATAGACCGACACTGTTCAGGGGTAAAAGGTTGAGGCATATGTCGTCCAACTAGCTGAAGAACAATGTTTAACTGCTCAAATGTAAGCTTACCATCACCAGTGCGATTAAGACACTTAAAGATATGTGGTAGTGACCACAATGAGCCATAATCAAGGTATTCATGTAAGCGTAAAAGTGCAGGATATAACCAAAGTGCTTCAGACATACTATCCTCATTGGAGTCATGTGAATCTAAAGAAGAGGCACGTCTTATTATTTCTTCTCGCGTTGATTTTCGTCTACCGGTGTTAGACTCATTACATGATATTACAAGAGAAGAAAGAATTTCTTCACCATTAACTGACTTAGATTTCTTCTCCTTCGAAACATTAGTAGTAGCATCAGTATCTTTATCTGTTATTTGTTTTTCTGTTGTATTAGGCGAATATTCTGTACCAAAATCAAACTCCACGTTAAAGGAGGCACCAGAGCCTAAGAGTTGAACTGAACCTTCTTCTTCTTTTTCAAGTATGGTCTCTACAATATCATTAAGGTCACCAAGAAATACATGTCCACATTCATTCACGTCAAAATATAAAAACATTGCATACATAACGTTATCTTCAAAAGATGCCGCCACAGAAGATTGCGAACGTAAAGTAGAAACAAAGAGGTTAAAACTTAATTTCAAATCTCTCCATTTGTCATGTGAGTCAAAACTCTCTTGGACTCCTTTTTGCATCTTCACTAGCTTTCTTCTTCCAATATCTTCATCATCATCATCATCATCATCATCATCATCATCATCATCATCATCCTGTACCTCTCTCTGTTCAGCATCCACATGCCGTGAACCTAGTGAAGGTGTCAACCCTTCTTCTTTTGTAGGGAAATTACCTTTCCGTTTAAGTAAAGTATGCGTTTCTGTACTTGTTGAATATAATAAATCCCCCTCTTCCCCTGCATGGGATGGAGATGCAGCAGGGGAAATAGATGACGTAGTAGAGATATGCATATCTTGCATTCGAGAAAGTAAATCATCTGGCATATCCATACCTTTAAAAACACGGCATACAACTGCCACTTGAAATGGTCGTAGATATTGGGTTGAAAAACGGGCACCAAAATTTTTCAAAAAATGTACATATCGCACACAAAATACACCATCCACCTCTTGTTGTTCAGCAAGAAATTGACAGAGATAATACCATGGTAAATCCATCTCCAATACATTTCGCATAACATCACACCACTCAATCTTTAAGATAATACCACTTTCTTTATAATCCGCAGACACAAAGGCAGAAAGTAAGGCATAACGTTTTCTGTATACAATTTCTCCCAAAGTCCTAAGTACATTCAAACGGTATAATAATTGTCCTTCCACTGGTATATCAAGATCTAAAGAAGAAAGACTACCTCTACCATTACGGTTTTTGTTTTTCAATTTATCATCCACCTTGGAGTCATTCTTTTCTTCAGATGATAATATTTCATCTGTTTTATTGACATTTTTTCCATTTACAGAAGTGGTATCATCAGGTTTATCATCATTAGCATCAGAAGAATCATTATCATCGTCACTATTATCCTCATCATCATCATCATCATCATCATTTCCACCATTTAACAATCCAGGGGCTTCAAGATCTATCAGAAGTTTCTTTCCCATAGATACCCCTTCAGCTCCCTCTTCATCACGTACGTACCAAGTGTGAAAAACTGGATTGAGTGAACCTTTTTGAAATAATGCCAATGCCGCGCGGTTACCTGAAACACCAGCGTAATTAGAAGCACTAAACACTGTACAACATCTACCATTATGGATAAGTTCATATCCAGCATGTACCATTTCATGTGATCGTACCACCAGTTTAAGATTATTGAGTCGTAGAAAACTCTCTGTAACAGGTGCGAGGTATTCTACTCCACATCCACGTTTACTGGTACGCCAATTTTCTCCTTGATGTCGAAGCCCTAATTGGCGTGAACGAAATTTTTCCACTGGATCATTCCATAATATATCCACAGTAATTTGTTCTTCTTCTGTTGCTTGTGCTGAGACAGGTATATTGCGAATGCGAGACATTCCCTCAATGCGATCTAGTGTTATTGGGGATCGTGGTACACCACCGTGAAGAATGAGAACAGCTCCATCCAAGACGGTCATTAATGGCATAGCTTCATAGCTGGTAACGAGTAATTCCAATAAATGTTTTGCATCTTCCAAACCATATTTGCTGTAGACTTCTGTTTCAAATCCGTATTCCGTGTTAACATGAGCATCTTCATGATTACCTCGGTTAATAAATACAAATTCTGGAAATGCACAAAGGAGTGAAAATATATATAAAATGACTTCCATACCATTTGCTCCTCGATCTACAAAATCTCCATTAAATACAAAATACCTTTGACGATTTGGGAGAGCTCCTACAAGTGCACGAATTTCACGTAAATCTTTCATTTGACCATGCAAATCTCCAATTACCACAACATCTCCTCCTTCTGGAATAGTTACACGTTGAACAAGTGAACGTGAGGCGAGAATAATAATAGCATTTGTTACAATACGAACTGCTGTAGCGAAATCAACCAATTGTTCTGATGTTGTAGTCTCGGCTACGGCTTCAAACTGTGCCATAGAGATAGAACCTGCAGTGGCTGCGGCTACACGAGAAAAATCTCTTAAAGGTATTTCCTTCTTTTTTCCACCACTTCCAGAGATATTATCTCGAGTGGCTTGTCTTTCACGGTATAATTCCAAAGCCTCCCATACATATTTAAAAGTTAAGTCCTGTAATCGCTCCTTTACAGAGGCTTTACGCCAAAGTTGCTGGAAACAAATTAAACGATTCCTTAAAGCACTTGGAAATCTCATAGGTACACGTGAATAAAGTGGGGCTCCTAATGAAATTGAAGTTTCTTCTGCTGTTCCTGGTTTAGATTTAAGAGGTGAATGAAATAATAAGGGAGGACGAGTTTCTCCTCCTGTACCGGCATTATTACCCTGAGCAATACTAGCATCTTTGCGTCTTCTACGAGCCCGTTCAACATCCATTCTTAACTTGTATGGACACAAACCCATAAGTCTTGGTACAACCATTTCTCCACAATACGCACAACATTGAAGTCTACAATGTCGTCTGTGCTCTTGCATATGAGAGGCCTCTACTCGGACATTACACCGTGCGCATTTCATCCATTTCCCCTCTTCCGAGCAACTCTTTAAATGTTCCGCATACTCCGATACGGGCACTACCATTTCACACCATTTGTTCTCGCACGTCACTAGACCCCCACCATCACGGGTGTAGTCCTTTATGAGATCCACAAGATATGCAAACGGGTCTTCTGGCTCTGTGCGGGCAACGACTTCCAGCCATTCATCCACTAACAAGCGGAGTCTATAGCGAGAGAGAAAACTCTCAATGGAATCCCCCGCAGTACGGAGCATTACAGTAACCTATATTAATATAATAAAAAAAAAGAAAAAAAAAAAGAAAAAAAAAAGAAGACAGAAAAAATAAAATAAAATAAAAGGAACGAAAGAATACTAATGAATTTCCCTTCTATTATAATCATTTTCATAAAAATGCGTGCAGCATAAAAAAAAAAAAAACGTCCTTCTCGTTCGTTCATAATACGCTGTTAAGGTTTTTTTTTTATTTTATTTTTTTTTGTAGATGTGTGTGTATATCTTTTGTAATTATACAATGATCGTTCCCAGAGTAATTAAAGGATAGACAAATACCAATCTTGTTTTATCCTTCTCACTCTTTAACTTTCCTTGTGTTTTTTTTTTCTTTTTTTTTTATTTATTCTTTTTTCTTTTTTTCCATTTTCTTTTGTTGTTGTTATTTTCTTTCCTCTTCTCGATTTATATTCCTTTTTCTTCCTTCTTTTCTTTTCTTTCTTCTTGTTTGATGTTCCCCCACCCCCCCTAGTGACACCCGCAATGACCACAACAGGGACAGAAATTCAACACTTGATTTTCTCTCGTTGTGGCCTCATCCCACGGCTCCTCACCCCCTTCAAGAAGACTCTTTAATGGCACCATATCCAAACTCACACGAATTCCTAGTGAAGAGGCGATGGAATACAATAACTCTTCTTGTTTTTGTTCGTGTAGTTCTTCTCGATGATGATCTCCAGTGAAAACTGTTATGCCGTCTTCTTCTTCTTTTTCCTCTTCTTTCTTCACAGTACCACTTGTAGATGGGTGAAGAGATCGAATCTGATGTAATCGCTCCTGTAATAGTGAAGGGTTTGAGCCAATAAAAGATACACATACAGAAGAAACCCCGTTCTTCTTCTTCTCCTCCTCCTCGGATTTTTTTCTAAAGCTCTGCACCAGTAATTCAATGTGTTCACCAATAAAATCCAAACCTTCCTGCACAACAGAAGAATTCATTTTCTCCACGTTTGTTAAATCACAATCATATGGTAAACGCACAACCACATGAGAGACATTCTCCAATGCCCCTTCCATAGAAGCATAAGCAGCCAACCAAGCCACTTCCACCGCAATACGAGTGGCAGCGTCTTTCAAAGGCAAAAAAGAAACATCCAATACAATTACACTAGATTTCATACCCGCTACAGAAGGTCGGGCCGTATCCTCTGAAAAGTAATGAGTAACCACTACAGCTGTCTTAGCTACATTCCTTGCTGTTAAACGAGTGAAATTTCCTACTTCTTCTACTTTAGCACTACTAGTACTATTACTATTACTAGCACAAGAAGACAATAGATTTGTCATGACATCTGGTTCTGGGAATAAACACAACTCATCGTAAACAATATCATACATATTCCATATCTCTTTCCATACGGTTCGGTTCAGATGTGCACCTAAATCCACATCATTTGTGGCTGATGGTGCTTGTATACCAACAGGAAAGTGAGAATAAATCAATGGACGTGTCCCTGTGAGAGTTTTATACGCACCTAATGGAGGTCGAGTATTTGTCAGACGAAATCCACGCAGGAATACCAACGCTGCCTGTGAATTCTCAGGAGATGCACCATTTCCACGAACACGAAGTAGCATTACTCTTGATGATTTAATCCGTCTCTTTATTTTTTTAATTTGTTTTGTTTTGAGAAAAGGTTCACTTTTTTCTGTCTGCCTTTAAGCTTTTGATTTGGTTTTTTGTTGTTGTTGTTGTTGTTTCTTTATCTCTGCCTATTGGTCTCGACTTGCCTATATAGGTGTGTTTCGGGAATATAATTCCACATAAAAAAAAAAAGATAACATGTCAAGAAGAAAAAAAAAGGGGGAATAATGCATTACTCTCAATGTTGGTGGTGATGAATAATAATAACAATAAAAAAGGAAAATAACCATTAATGAAGTCAATGGGTGAAAGTGAAAACCACATCATAGAATGAAAAATGTGAGGAAAAAAAAAAAGAAGCATCAACACAAAAAAAAAAAAAAACAGTAACACTACCATATGTATAGAAGAGGTCTAAATAACGCTCTCTATCTACACCTCTATCAAGCCCCTTCATACCAGCGTATTACACACATATATAAAAATCTATCTCTCTCTCTCTTTCTCTCTATTATTCTTCTTTATTTTTTTTCATTTTTTTTTTTTTTTTTGATAATAGAAATGTACAATAAGAAAGAAAGAAAAAAAAAGTGTGTAAAGAGGCGGTTAAAGAGGTGGTGGTGGTGGTATCATGTGCATCTAACTATAAAGTGAAATATAAACAAAAGTAAAGTCAAAAAAATAATGACTCTTTTTCTCTTTTTTTGTTTTTTCTAAAAGTTTGTCGAATCTCCAAGAACTTCACGTTTTCTGTTCCCAGCCTTCTTACCAGCCGCATAAGAATAAGCACGATGAGGTGTGGTAAGACCAGATGGTAGAATTAGTCCATTACTTTCGCCTGCCACAAGTGCTTGTGAAGTGGCTCTTGAAACAGGGGCTGACTGGCATTGAGATGCCGAGAGACCACCACTGTAAATATTGTTAATCTTATTATTATTACTGTTACATCCTAGCTGATTCTTGGTGTCCAAAGTATGATTGCCGTTTGATGTAGAGTTGTTACTATTTTTAAGGCAAGAACGGAGTTGACGTGTTGGGACGCTAGAAGATGCATTCGCAGAGATAAATTCCTGTTCTTTATGATTCGCATCACGTGTTGTTGAAAATGAATTTTGTGCTGTTGGGATTGGGGTACCACGTCGACTGTGTTTACCACCTTGTATATGTAGTAACAATTGTTGTTGTTGTTCTTGCTGTTGTTGTATATCCCCTTGACGTTCTGATTGGACTTTCTGCAGTTGTCTTTCAGCTGCTGCAAGTTCTGTCTCTAGTGCTGTAATTTCTTCTTGATATTGTTTTCGTTGTTTTTTAAGGGAACTTTGTAATGTATTAAGCCTTGTACGGAGACCATGTTCCTCTTCTGCCCATAATAAACTTTCTTCTTGTAATTTTGCCTCAAAATCCTCTCGTTGTTGTAATTGTTGTTCATCCATTTGAATCTCCTTCACAATGGCATGCATAGATTCATAGTTATCCAACGTCTTTACATATAATTCCTCCACCTGTGTTTTGTTTTGTAGTGTCTTCTGACATTTCCCCTCCAATTCCTCTGCTTGTCCTTCTACTTCTTCTAGGCGTTTCAACATTTCTTGTTTTTCGCGCTGTACAAGTTTATCATATCGGCCAATATCTTGTTTGATCTCCTTGCGTTGCTTCACAAGGGCGGTGATGTCCTCCTGCACAACACTGATCTCCGTCTCCGCCTCAACCACACGATCCCGCCACTGCGTCAACAGTCCCTCAGACATGTTCTTTCGTTTTTTTTTTTCTTCTTTTTCTTTTTTTGTTCTGTTTTCTCCTTTTTTTTTTTTTTTTTTGATTTGGTCTGGGGATGGGGATGAGAGAGAAAATAAAAAATAAAAAAAGGAAAGGGCTCTGTTTGTATGGAGGGTCCCTAATTCCTTTTTTTTTTTCTTTTTCCTTCTTCTATCTTTCCACGGATATATATATATATATATGAAACTCTAGTTCTATTTATCTACCTTGTTTTAATACGTGTAAGTGGTGGCTAGAAGTATCTACGGCAGTCAACACCTCCCTGGTCCTCTTCTCAAACTCCAGTCGTGAGTCTTAATCAGAGAACACAACAGAGAAAGAGGGAACGAAAGAGAAAAAGAAAAACAAGAAATGAATTCAGAGACAGAGAGAAAAAAAAAAGAAGGTAGGAATAAAAAAAAAAACAAGAGAAAGAAGAAAGAAAACTAAATGCGAAAAAAAAAAACAATTATGAGTAACTACTAAGCTGATACAAAAAAATAAAAGAAAAAAAAAGTTCACACAAAAAGACACTAATAGAGCCATGCACTGAAGCTTTTTTCTTAATGTTTTACTAATCTTTCCTAATAAGCTTCTTCTCTTCTTTTTTTTTTCTTTCACAGATGTCGTGTTCCCCGCAACACGTATATAAATGAAACTGATTGCGTCTTATAGAAAAAAAAAAAAAAAACACCTATCAGGTCATATTTTTCGGCCTGATTAATAATGCTAGCAAACAATGGCTCAAGGGGGCGCTCACACACATCATCTTCATTTTCTTCCTCTATAAGCACTACATAAATACTAATACATTGCAGTACATAATCGTTCATACATATCTTTGGCAACCGTTGTATGCATATCATGATCACGACGAGCTCGACGGAATGCATTTACACTTCTCTCCGCAACATGCCGTTCACGTACCTGCTGCCACATTGCCCTTGCGAGTAATTTCTTGCCCAATTTAAGGTGTTCACCAGCCCCCGCTGAGGTGGCATGACGGGCAACATCCTCTGCCAACTTCACTGCTACTCGCCTTGCCTCTGGTTCAAGATCTTCCATAGGAGCATCATGCGGGAACTCCGGTTCATGTACAGGCACAAGACGTGAAACGGCGGCAAACACAAGTGTAAGAGAAGAAAGTGAGAAGCAGGCCACCCACTGATCACCGCGTAGGGGGCGAACTCTCATAAAATCTCCAAGGAATTGAACAGCAAACGCCTGAAATGCGAAACAGAAGGAAATAATACCCAACGACACTCTTGACCTCGACCAGAGTCCCTCAAATGGATTAAGCTCCTCATGCAGTTTTCGGGCATTGAACATGTGAAAAATAGTAGACAATAAAAACAGGTTAAAGGTAATGGTTTGCAACTCACCTCCTGTCACCTCAAACCATACATCTCCATACCTTTCCACAAGCAGAGCACTCACAACCTGAAAACACGCAACCGTAAGAATAGTGCACCACATGCGATTCGACACAAGTGGAGCCTTACGAGACGTGGGTCCGCGATTCAGACACTCCTCCGTTGGCTCCTCTGTCGCAAGAGCAAGGGCTGCAAGTGTGTCCATGATCAGATTCACCCACAATAGCTGTACAGTAGAAAGGGGAGAGGTTCGTGTAGATGACAAAAACGTTCCCAGAAAAGTCAATATAACACTCGAAAAGTTCACGGTTAACTGCAACTGGAGGAACTTGCGAATGTTGTCGTTCACAGTTCGTCCCCAGACAACGGCACGTTGAACAGAGCGGAAGTTGTCGTCAAGGAGTACAATATCCGCTGACTTCACGGCAATGTCAGTTCCGCTGCGCATCACGAAGCCGACATTCGCCAGCCGAAGCGCTGGGGCGTCATTCGTCCCGTCGCCGGTCACCGCCACAACCTCGCCGCGCGTCATGAGCATCAGCACCAGCAGCTGCTTATCCAGCGGCTGCGAGCGCGCCATCACAACCATTCGATCAAGGACAGGCCAGAACTTCTCCATATTCGCATCATTGCCATACGAGTCATACACAAGGTTGCGGAACTCCTTCCCAGTCATCGCCACGTCCCCGCGAAGCCGGTTGTAAATGCCACACTGCCGCGAGATCGCAATTGCCGTGTCGAGGTTATCACCTGTGCACATCCTCACCGTCACACCGGCATGCTGACACTTCCGCACCGCCTCCGGCACCTCCGCGCGCAGCGGGTCTTGAATCCCCATCAGCGCCAGCCACACCAGTGGCTGTGTCGGCTCCTCCTCGGGAACCGTGCTGCCTTCCATGCGGGTGTACGCCACACCAATCGTGCGATTCGCGTCATTTGCAAGGGAGCGGATCTGCACAACGATCTTCGTCCGCGCCGCATCCGTCAGCGGCTCCTCCTGCCCGGTCGCCGTCACGTAACGGTCACACATGTCCAGCACGCGGTCAGACCCACCCTTCACGTAGTGCATCACCTGCCCGTCTGCTCCAAGCGCCACAGCACTCATGAACTTGCGCTCGCTCGTAAACGGGAAGATCGTGAAGCCGTGCTCGCGGCGCCGCTGGCGCAGGCGCTGGTGGGGGCGGCTCGTGAAGTCAATCAGGTCCGTATTCTTCATCAACACGCGGTCAACAAAGTCCAGCAGTGCGTTGTCCGTCTTGTTCCCCTTGTCCGGTCTCCACTGCCAGAAGGGCTGCGCCGCCGGTGTACCGTCCTTGTTCTGCTGACACACAACCTTCTCACTCGAGCTATTCAGCGATAGACATTCCATCAGCAGCGTTTGTGCTTCGGCAGGCACGTTCCCAAGCGAAATCGGCGTCGGAATGTCGCCGGGGTCACGCACATTGAAACGCTGCATCCCGACGTAGCCCTGTACCACGCTCATCAGATTCTGTGTCAGCGTCCCGGTCTTGTCGCTGCAGATCTGCGTCGCATTCCCCATCGTCTCGCACGCGCACAGACGCCGAACCTGGTTATTGTCATCCTGCATCTTGTTCTGCGAGTACGCAAGTGCTATCGTCACCGCAAGTGGGAGACCCTCTGGGACAGCAACCACCACAATCGTTACACAAAGCAAGAAGTAGTCCAAGAACTTTTTGGGGTACAGATCCTCGGTATCACGAATTACACGGAACACCTCCATTGTCGAAAGAAGGAAGAAAAGAACAACAGCCGTGCCCAGGCCGAAGCGACCAATCAATCCCGCTAATTCGTCCAACCGCTCCTGTAGCGGTGTCATTCGAGGCCCACCCTCCTGTCGCGACTGCATCAGCAGTTTCCCGCCAAATGAGTTCTCGCCAACAGCGCAGGCCAACATGTACGCGTCCTCTGCTGTGTTCACAACAGTACCTGTCAACAGAATCGGCGATTGGGCGTTCTTTTTCTTCGGGTCGTTCTCGCCCGTCACGCTGCTTTCGTCTATCACCACACTGATCCCGCGCACGTAGAAACCGTCAACGGGTACCACCAGACCAGGCACCAGACCCACGAGATCACCCACCACAATCTCCGTCACGTCAACCGTCTGTTCCTGGCCATCACGGATCACTGTCATGGGCTCAGCAGAGTTCTCCTCCGTCAACCGGCGAAACTTCAGCTCCTTGCGGTAATCGTTCACAGACGACACCGTTGTCACAATAAGCACGGACACAATGATTGCAAAACCCTCAATCCACCCGGTCTCACGATTCACCTTGGTCTGACCAGGTTCCGGTACAGTCAGCCCAAGCACCAGTGACACAAACGCAGCACCAGTTAACAAGAGAATCATGTGGTCACTCCACGCCGCCTTGTAAATCTGCCAAAACGTCAATGATTCCTCCTCTGGCAGCTCGTTCTTGCCAAAAACTCCACGGCGTTGCCCCACAGTTTCAGCACGGATTCCGACAGTCAGATCTGTGTGCAGCTTGGTAGCAATTCCTTCAATACCCCCAAGCTCCTCATAGAGTGGCATCGCTTCGTTCGCGCGGGCAAAGATATTCTCCAGGTCTGTCTGAATGGTCTCCCCCACGTTTTCGCCACCTGCCACGCGTACACGAGTGGCAACACTCCGTTGCACTGACTCTACCAGACGGGCCCGCTTCAGCCTCTCCCTCATCTCTTCGTCGTCAGAGGTGCCATGGGAAGCGCTACCACTTTTTGAGAGCATATTTTCCTACCGTTGGGTATCTATATCTTCTGTCTCCCAAAGGAAAACAAATAAGACCGCTGCGACCAAGACGTTTACTATCGTTTTGGCTTTGGTTACTTTTCTATTTTACTAAAAAATCAAGTCACTTGTAAGCAATGTCTTGGAAGAGCAAACGAGAAAAGGAAATGAAAATACAGTTAAATCAATTTAATAATAAAAAAACGTGCAGGTTGGAGCTAATATTACATAATTGTTTCATTTAACCACGATGTGTGGTAGGAAAAGACATATATACTCATATTAACCTCATATTAATAATCAAACTTCATTTTCTTCTTTTTCTCTTATGCTTCTTTTTTTCAATCAGCATTCTTGTGTAGGACGAATTCCATCCCCATGCAGTTTAGCTTCATGTGCAGCTACTAGTTTCTCTGCTGAATAAGAAGTCTTTTTTTTTCTTTGTTTTTCATCTTTTTACAAGTCCCGTAAGAGCGAAGCATTGAGAAGAATACCATCACAGAGGGATTCTAAATGTTGCGTTTGCTCCCGCAGCTGCATGAGCTTTAGTAAAGTATCAATACGTTGCGCCAACGGGCCATAGTTCTCCTCTTTTTGGCTGAAGTAGTTTTCTGTGCTAAGCACACGAGAGAGTTCATCTGTATTGTGACGTACAGATTCAAGTAATGCGGCAATGTAATCCGACATGGTTTCAGACTGAAGCAATGTACAAGTGCTTGGCAACGGTGAAACATTGATGCCATCAAGGCACAGCAGTTGGTACTCATCGACATCCACCTCTACCTTAACCTCGCGCAGCACACCATTCTTGCCCACGTGACAGTCACGTATTAGACGGTTCTCGCGGAGAACATTACGCTTATTGCTGATTTTGTTGTAGAAGTCCAGATACTCTGGTGTTGGAACGAAGGCTCGCAGGTACAACTTGCCCATTAGACTTGTACGAAAAGGATCGTACACAAGAAGAACGCTTGGATGACCATCCAATGCCAGTTGTGCCAACTGTTGAGCTGTGCGAACTGAGTACGGGGCATTGGTACAGGCGCTGCAGACTGTGAATTGTCCTACTTGATAGCTGTCAAGTTCCTCCTTGTGCAGCATCTTTCCAAGCTTTTCGTACATACGCTTTTCCTCTTGTTGTTGAGCCAAAAGTCGCTTTTCACGTTGTTCAGGTGCCTCGTCCTCTGCGGGGCGAGTAGTAGGTGCGGCCGGGAGCACATTTGTGATCTCAATCCTGTCATTCAGCTGAACGCCACAAAGACTGCCAAAAACAGCATAATGGCACGTGACATTTTGCGCTAGGCTTCCAAGGAAAGTAAGTGCAGAAAGAGAAATGCGTACATTCTGCACCGGAGGAAGTTCAAGAGCCTTTACACAGCCCTCCGGATCCTCCATGTGAAACCTTTCATTGACAACGCAGTCGCGAGGGGCCAACTGCACGTCGGGATAACCGTGAAACATCTGAAAAGTGTAGAAATAACTTCTGCTCGACAGGCACTGTGGGATTAGTGAAAAAGACGCGAATCGTCAGAATGGAGTTGTAATGTAAAAAAAAAAGAAAAAAGAAAAAAGAAAAAAGAAGGGAAAGATTAGAAATTATTGAGTTTGAAAAAAAAAAGATAATGTGTCTATTGGCCACAAAACAAACAAGAGTGTGGTGGTTCATATTACAAATTGCATTATTCTCTGCTTAATATTCCTATCGCACTGGGGATGATTCTACATTTATCTTCTCCCCACATAAACAATCATACACTCGAACTACTTCTTTTCTCTCATTATTTTCCCACATCGCTGATTTACCTCTCCCTCTCGCTATCTATCCAGTTCCTCTTATCTCCTCTTATTTGAATTATGCACGGCCCATACATACACACACAGAGAGATATCCTGCGGCAGGAGCAAGCAACGTTAAAAAAAAAAAAACAGGATAAACAAAAAGAAAAAAAAAAATTAGGATTCAGTTTATGCCGTCTATTTTTATCAATGTAAATTTTTCTCCGTTTCATCGACGCTGCCTCCCCTCTTCAAAGTCACAGTGGCAACGTTTCTTTTTATTTATCTTCTCTCTTCTTTTACTATCCGCCAGTATCATGCACATCAACTTGTAATAGTACCGCGCAACAGAGGGAAAGACAAACAATTAGCACGCAAAAAAGGAATATAAAAAAAATATATGTACAGCTGAGAGCAACACAGAATAGGAAAACAAAAAATAGTCTCAGTTAACGTATTTATACCTGTTAAAATCACTCAGTAAAAAGAGAAAACAAAACAGAAAACAGAATTAGTTACTCTAATCTTTCTCATTTATATTTCTTAATAGAGAAAGCTACCTGATTATCACTTAAGAGAGTGGCATTTATAAAAGTGACTCACATTCCTTCTCCCAAGCTATTAAATCTCACTCAAATTCAGGAATTATAGGGTGAAACGACCAGCAAATCCACAAACAAGTAAACTTGAACCGAACGTGAAAACCTCTTAAAGTAAAACAATTTTATTAATAAGAGCTACAAAAAGAAAAATTTAACAGAACCTGCTACCACCATAAACGGTGCAGGATTATATATATAAAAAAAAAAACTCACATCAATATCCAGACCTCCATAGTGGTCCTTCCATAGGACATGATACCATAATACTCAATGGTGCTCTTGACGGAGGCGGTAGTAGAGATTTCTTGAAAAAGTGTTCCGCATGTCACCATCCACCTTGGCCCGTCGAAAGGCATTCACAACGCGGAGTGTCTTCACGCGCTCGCCCTGCACCTTCCGCCACAACGACTGTGCATGCATACGCCGTGCCAAATGAAGGCAATCACCACCGCCAGACCCATTCTCAAGGCGTACCTTCTCCACATCACTAGATAACTGCTCAACAAAGCGGCGCACTTCATGATCAATGTCTTTATCCCGGGAGCGGGGGAACACAGGCTCCGGCACATACACCAATCGGCTTAGAATTCCCACAGGTAGGGTGATCACAGCAATGGCAAGACTGCACCCCCACTCCGCAGCAGACAGTCGCCGTACCTTCATTAGCTCTCCAAAGGTCGACACTGCCACCGCCTGGAAGATCACACAAAACGCCAAAATAAATATGAATAGTTTTGACCGCTGCAATCCCTCAAATGGATTAAGCTCCCTGTAAAGCTTGCGAGCATTGAACATGTGAAAGAGGGTGCCATAGACAAAAACGTTAAACAGAAGGGTCTTGTGCTCTCGGTCGCCCTCAAAGGTATCGGGAAAGAAGCGTCGCCCATAGA